GCATTGGTACTAGGAAAAAGAGTATGGATATCAGAGATGAATAGGGGTAAAATCCAAAGACTCCAATTGGTGAAATTTAAGAACAGAAGGCATTGGTCAAAGTGAGTTCTAGGGTTACAGAACTGAGACAACCAAAAACACAGTAATTCTATTAATCAAGATTAGTCAAAAGGCATATATGAAGAAAATCAGAGGAAATTAAGTTTTAAGTGCTGGGAGGTCAATAAAGTAGAATCATTCAATAAGCAAAAGGCATTGGGGCATAGAGTGCCTTTTATGAAATTAAATACTTTTTATATCTGGTTGATATCTGAAATCACCCAAAGCCCAGAAAACATTGACTTTCATTGTGTCTTCACAGTGTAACAGGTTTCTTTTCAAGTTAATCTCTTTTCTAGGCAGGACAGATGGAGGGAGAGAGGACGGAAAGAGGGAAGGARGGAGAAAAAGATAGATGCATAGAATAGCTTTCCAACAAATACATTACTAAAAATTAAAAGCACTTAAAAGCAAATTTATAATAGTAGTTTGAACAAATTAATCTCAAACTGAAACAGTTTGCTATGTTTTAAACGTGCCCCTACCCCCAACCCCCTGCAATGTTCATGTATTGGAAACTTAATCCCCAATGCAACAATATTGAGAGGTGAGAGCTTTAAAAGGTGATTAGGTCCCGAGGCCTCTGCCCCCCACCATAAATGAATTAATGGTTATCACAAGAGCAGGTTAGTTAGCTTGCCAGTGAGTTCCTGAAAAAATGATGGGTTTAGACCTTCCCCCACCCTCTTTCTTTGGCAGGCTCTCCTGCCATTTCACCTTCCACCTAGGAATGATACAGCCAGAAAGCTATTGCCAGATGCAGCCTCTCCATCTCAACTTTTCGGGCTTCAATACCATAAGYCAAATGCATTTCTGAACACTATAAATTACTTAGCCTGGTATTTTGTTACAGTAGCAAATCAAACCAAGACAAATTTTCTACTTAAAAGTTAAATTCTTCCAASTCCCCAATCTTGCAAGTCTTTCTATTAAGTTGTTTGTAAACAGTGTCTGTAGAAAATTATGAATGTAAAGAAACAAAAACATCTACTATGTTTAAGGACTCTTTACGGCTAGACAATTTATGACTTGCTCAAGGGGCCCTAACTTTAACTCTTAATAGTAACTGTGTATTCTACACAAAAACTATAAAATTCACACATTACATAGCTCACATAACCTAGTGAACTAAATACAAAGATGTATATTATACTATGTTATATTCATAATTAATGTTGCCAATGCCATGATAAAATAATTTATACCTATTTAAATCCTATGGGTTTAAATTAGTGTTTCTCAATATTTTTTACATTAACACTATGGACTTGTTTCAAACTATATGTTTTCTAATCAATCACCATATAGTTTTAATACCTCACATAATCTATTTATCTGTTTTATACTATATTTGTGCTTTATATTAACAAAAATAAGATATTTTACAAATCCCTCCAAATTTTCACCCTCCTGGGAAGAATATCTCTGTCATTGTGAATACATGGTTTATTTAGGTTAATAATTTGATGCTTAAATAGAAACTATATTTATAATTAAAATAAAGCTAAGCCCTTGAGCATTATGGAAGAATAAGAGAAAGACTCATAGCCATACTTCTAAAATCTCTAAATAATAACYGAGATCAGTAATTATTTACTGTGCAGCACACATTCATTTGAAAGGTCACTATCATTATTCTTCACTGATTTTCCTAAACAATCAGTAATGAAAGTAATTTGTGGCTAATAAGTTAAATGTAGATTTTATAACCAAAAATAAAAACTTCTATTAATAAAGTTCTCAAGTACAAAATGGACAAAATACATAAAAATAAGAATCTGATAATCAGAAGGATTCCCAATTTATCTAATTTTGAAAATGGCACTGACATTTGATAGAAAAGTACTAGAAAAAAAATAATAAGAGGAAAAACATTATTTAAACACAAACTGTTTTACAAAAAAATATTAAAAAGCAATCATTTTACTAATAACCTTTAGAATTCTATTTGTTTATTTATAATTAAAACTCACCAATACTAAGGTTCAAAGATAATGTTTCCTTAATTATACCATAATTTTCTGAATTTCTCAATGTAGCATAACTAAGGATAAATTATCAATTATTGCTGGTGAAGGTTAGAACATTAAAGGAAGGAAAAAATTACAGGAATATATTTCTTTTTTGACCCATTTTGACCCCAGCCCACCTCATCCCACCCACACCAATATGTATCTAGAACAAAAATAAGAGATAGAGATAGAGTGTAAATTACTTAGAGTAAGTATTTATTATTCTTTCAGGAAGCAAATCAAAAGATCTTTCCTCCAACAAAACATAAAAAAAGAAAAAGTTAATAGGAGKATTATGTCTAAAGCCAAATAGGCTACCAACACTCTAGATTATTAGGGATATAATACAGACATACAACCTCAAATGTACTAAACATTGCTTAGTTAAAAATTAAGGATATATTTTAAAATTTTATTATTGGTCTTTCTTTCAGTGTCATTATTTTTTCATCCTATGACCTTGCAGCCTGAAAGCTTTAAGACTTCAGTAATGTTGGTGATAATGTTAGAATTACTAAAAATCACTTCTCTTGTTCTAAGGTCTAAGCTGTATAAGTCTTAAGTCTCTACTGAAAAAAATTAGACCACTAAGGCATTAGTCTATTCTTAACCAAAACCCCAACTTTACTAGCAGTTGCAAATATAATCTAATACTTTCAATTCCACTTATTTTTAATAAAGCATAGTTAATTAAAATCATGAACTCTTCAAAATTATTTTTTTATTCTTCGATTTTTAAAGAGGCGACAATTCCTCAATTAAGATGGTAAAGAGTTACACTACAAAACATGCTACATATCTGGATGCACTGCATGACARAATAATATTTAGCCATTAAAAATAGGTACCTTGGTGGTGAAAGAATGACTAATAAAAACAGAGCACACTTCTCTATAAATCAAAGGTAGCCACCAATTAAATGCCCTAGTTTTTGTTAATAAACAAATTYACCATAAGTTAATGTTGCTAAAAACAAAGCAATCTGACTAACAAAATGACAATTTTCTAGTGAACAATTTATAGAAGGAAAACTGACAGCATTTTAATATATACAATAATAATAATATATAATATTAACACATATAACAATAATATTATATATAACATATATATATATATATATACATACACATGTCTATGTATATATATATAAACAAAAGTAGGATTAGGGATTAATAGAAACCAGTAAACGACATGAAAGGTAAATCATGAAAGGATATAATCGAAAGTAATCAAAATTACAAAGGGCATTTTTTAATCACAAGCTACACACCATACTTTATAGTTTAGAAAAATATTCTTCTAGTAGTTTATTTAGCAATGTATCAACCACTGTGTTAGCTACTAGTATTAAACATGAAAGAGTCAAGGAAGAAAATATATTTCTTCAAACAGAAATTTGGAAATTAATGAATTGATTAAATTGAATATTAACTCAAAATACATGCTRTCTAAAAACCAAAACATGAAAGCCAAAACAAAAGTCAGTCAGAAAAACGGTAAAAATTTATAAGAAATTACAAATTTACCTTGGCTCCTGTATACTCGGTTTTATTACATGGTTTTGTGGCAGAGAATCTTGTGATTTTTGTATTGAACTCTAWAAAAGTGAAAAATAATTTATTTTATTTTTAAAACAAAATCAGCTATGCAATAGTACTATGCAAACATCTTTAAAAGGGTACAACAGGAAAAGAAATTTTTCTCAAGCTACATAATGTACATCAAAATTCAAAGTAAATAATCTGTGAATATGTATGTGCATTTGCACACAAATATGTTCAGACTTCAAGCATAACATACATGATCACAGMTAGAGTACACAATGAGTCATTCCACTTAGGAACCAAATCAGAATTCTAGACAAAATTCTGCAAAAAGATTTACTATTTTACTTCTTTATCATATGTTTCAGATCTGTAAGAAATATATGTCCATTTCTTATAACTTTTACTTTAAAATGAAAATGTATGATCATTGCTTGATTACAAGTATCAGTCTATAAAAATATTATAGCTGCATCTCTGATTCCAGATGTGTAAACTCAAATTACATATAAAATTCAAAAACCCAATATTCATCATAGAGTCTAATGATAAACATTTTAATTTAAAAATATCTGATGTGAAATGCAGTGGTACATGCCTATAATCCCAGCACCTAGGGGGGATGACAAGTTTGACATCAGCCTGGGCAACTTAACAAGACACTATCTCAAAAGAAAAAAGACTAGGGATGTAGCTCAGTAGTAGAGTGCCCCAGGTTCAATTCTAGTACTTCAAAAATAAATAAGTAATTAAAATAAAAATATCTGAGTTAAGTGAAGTTAAAAGAGGATTATACTCAATCATATTCTGTCTTTCCTACTGCAGAACAGCATGTTCTACCTTTCAGAACATTTTGTTATAATAGTTTTTCTGATCCTAACGACAGACAAGGCAAGACATACATTACATACATACGATAAATGAATGAGGGCCCATAAAAGGTAAGTAACTTTTTCAAGGACCATACAACCAGGGCTGAGGCTAATAGCTCATAAWCCCTTTAACAGTGCTCTACTGCTAATATACTTAAGCATTGCACATAGCATTCAATGGACTTATCTAGAAACCAGAATACCATTCAAACCTCGAGTTTATCAAGAACAGTTAAGGGGTGGTGTTGTAGCTCAGTGGTAGAGCATTTGCCTAGCATGTGTGAGGCGATGGGTTTGATTCTCAGCATCACATAAAAATAAATAAATAAATAAATGTGTTATGTCCAACTACAACTAGAAGAAGAAGAAGAAAAGAGGAAGAGGAAGAAGGGGAGGAAGAAGAGGAAGAAGAGAAGGAAGAAGAAGAAGAAGAGGTTCAGGACTCTAAAAAATTCAAATATGAAGAGGTTTCTAATTTAGCCAAACAGAATAACTAATTACATTATACAACTGCCTTACAATATACCTTAAAAGTGTTCTAAAATTCTATATTTTTTAACTTGAAATAAGTTCATGGTGTTATTTTTCAGTCTAAGATCTAGTCAGAACAAAATATATATTAGAAACAAAGTGCAGATACACTGATAGAAAAGAAGAATATGCAGTTAAATTGTATCAAGTGATAAATTCTTTTAAATACTGTGCAAAGTAATCATTTGAGTTCAATATCATTTTTCATTCAATATCAYTTATCATTCCATTTTCTAATCCAAGAACTAAAGAATCATAAATTTTTATGATGACAATAAAAGAGATCAACTAACCATCTCTAGGAGGGGATCAGATGAGTAAGACTCAAATGTGGGTTTGTTTTTCAAAATAAGAAGAAATGCAGAATCTCCAATAATCTTCTCCAAAGCAAGTAATGAATGAAAGAGTCTGTAAACCAAAAATTTTATTAGTCTTAGAATTAAAAACCATGCAGACATTGTTTTCAGTTTCTTTACTAATGGTCATACCACCAATACCATCATCTTTGTGTTCACAAAAGGAAATCTATAATAAATATATAAYAAAGTGTCTCTTTGTTCCCCAAAACTGAGACTTAGGGTAAAAATGGTTAATCAGAAACAATCACTGCTAAGCATTCATTTAAAATAAAAAACATTTTGTTTATACCTGAAACATATTACCTTATTCAAACCTTTTATACTTTCTTTGACTACCATTTCARATAGTAAGAATATCCAGTATGATCACCCCAAAAACTATAAGGTAGTCTACCAAAAAGCAATAATTTTCTTTTACTTTAAACTTCAACAAAGTTAAAACAGTGATGAAATAAAACATTAATCAGTATAAAACCATTTCCCAAGAATTAAAGGTGATATTTTGTCGACCTTAGTCTCATGTTATTGTACAAGAGAAATGTGAAGAAGAGTTTCTCATTAATCTGGATAATGAAATTGTCTTCATTTTTGGTATTTTTCTTGGCCCTTGAAATTAATGTCTTCAAGTTGTTAATTTTATATCTGATGAACTAAAGGATTTTAAGAGTCTATTGATCTATGATCAGTTCTGAAATATAACCTCAGTACATCACCAGCCATTGCTGAAGAAATATATATTGGAAAAATATCTTGCTCAAAGTTCTGTTTTTTGTTTCAAAATTAATCACACTTCTTGAAGGCTTCACACATCGGGCATCCTTAAGTAAATGAACAATAGAGAAATCTATGGAGAAGCCTCATTGTGTACYAATCAATCATCACAATGCATTTATTATCCTTATAGAGTCATTGTCTCATTTTCTCCAATACAGGAATCCATTCTTTCAAGTATTTCTGTTGTCATGCAACAACAACAAAGTTAATAAAATAATTAGAAGTACCTTTTGTTTTGTAGAACAAGATCAATAAGTTATTAATTAAATACATTTACACAGCAAATCTATAACTGTAATATGAAAATTTTATGGTTTTGAATTCATTCCATTATCTAGTTAAATTTTTCAGTATATTCAAATACACTATTTGAGTAATACTTCCAATACTATTAAGTGTTTTCACCAGACTAAACAACCACATAAATGAATACAGATCAGTGATGGAAACAACTCCCTCAGCCTAAGTTTGTTTCTATTATCTACATAGTTATCTTCATTAGGCAGCATGAACTTACAGAATAAAAGTCACATCCTCTTACAGCTAAAATCACACATATATAACAATATATTACAGAGTCCTAATTAAACTGAGGAAAGCCACAAATCAACATGGCACACATGCCACCTTCTAATGCAATGAGCACTAAAAACTATAGCAGAATATGTCCCAAATGCTTTCTCAGGACGCATAAAACTGTTTTGTTTAAAACCAAAGAAAATGGAACATTAAATAAGTTTGAGAAACACTGGATGAAAGAAAATTTTAAATGTTAAATCATTTTATTAGTATATGGAATTTCTCAGAGATTCTAACTTTCAAACATGCACTTACCCTATTAATATGGAACACTATTCAGGGAAAATCACTTAGGAATCACAGCTTTCTAGTTTGCTGTCACTGMTGTTGTTTAAACAGATGGCATCATGTCTGTCATTCAACAGTTTGATCTATATGTTTAGGACCCTCATGCTCAGCTGTTGTTCAGTTTTTCCAACCTACATTATTTACAACTTAGGAATAAAAAAGGGGAAGAATTCTAAAACCTTTTGTAACTGGTCTCATTACCATTTCTTCTCTCCTTTCAGCTAAGCCTCACTCTCTACCTTTAAGCTGAACATCCATTATAAACACTGTCTGTAATTTATATATTCATGCCACAATTTAGAATTAACCTCAAAATATGCCATGATGTAGTCTTGTAGTTTATAGTTATATAAACATTGTAATACTACTGTTGAGAACATGATTCTGAGTTATTCTGGAATGGCAGAGGAAAGATAGAAGGGGCCTGGATCCCCTCTGACATTAAGGAGCCGTCATACGTAACCCAGTTACCTGCTAACTTCTTTCACATAACATACTAACAATTAGGACAAGATATATTCTGTTTGGGCTTGCTATTACTAGCAGTCAAATGTAATCCCTAACTCATATACTTGTACCCAATCTTTAGCCAATGTTTGAATGAACAGTACTCAACAGTCCATGTACAGAGAAAATGCTAGCTGCCTCTCGGTAATTCTCTAACTTGTGTTTTGAATTTCCTCTTTAAAATGTGCTAATGATCTGATAATTGTTTATGACTTTTCAATTGAAGTGTGAAGTACTTGCAAAGCAAATTTACAAATGTCAAGTACAATTTGAGAATTACTATGTCTTTTTTTTTTYCCTCTAACATACAATTCTCTATGGGGCTGTTTGTGTTTTGTTTTTTTTAAAGCTAAGAGCAATATAAAACATATTTAGGAACTAATGACATGCTCTGTAACAAAACTCAGGGACCTGTACTTAAATGTCTAATATGGCAGCCAGAGAGAGCAAGTAGCAATGTAGTAGAGTGACTTCTCCATGTCTTCTTAGGAGCTCTGCCCTAGTCTTATTCCAAGCCTGACTTTTAACTCTCAATACCAAGGAGGCAGAAGCCAGTGAATAGGAAAAATGAAGGATATGACACTGCTTTCAAAAATGCTTTCTATAGCAGGAATACCAATATCACTATCATCTAATGAGTTGTCTACCTTAAGACCAGCTCGACCTCAACATAAACAATATGCTGAAAAAAGTATATTTATCAAAAAATGAAGATATTCAAGATATTACCATGAATTTACTTTTGATTAACTTAAGGGAGAAAATGAAGCCTCAAGAATCTTTTTCCCCAATTCCTAGAAAACTAGTAAAATATTGTAACTAAAAACTTAAACACTTAATTATGATTAATAATATCAGTTGTAGATCAATTTTTAATGTTGATTTTATGAGCTCTGTATATTTTTCACAAAAGCAATCACTTTTTAAATCTATAACAAAATCACAGCATATTTTAATGATTTTAATATATTATCAAAGCATAGCACTGTTGAAGAAAAAAAAATCTGGAAGAAGTAACAGTCTATGCTATGGCGGAACAAAAGTCATAATTCCTTTTCAATATGGGAATCCTCTCTGCAGTGTTTTAATAAACAGWGATCCAAACTCTAGCATAACAGAGATTTAACTATCACCTTTTCCACTATTGGGAAGCATTGTTCACTAAATCCTCAGCCTTTCCAAGTCAAAGTCTGTCCTCTTTGTTTCTAATTCTTTAACACAGATACAACTGAGCTTCTAATCCCTTACTTTTCTTAGCTCTTCAGTGAGTGGACAATGGCTTTGATTTGGTATCAAACCAAAAAACCCAAGCCACCCTTCTGATTCCCAATTGATTACATCATCCATACAGGACATACTTTCTAGATCCTCTTTCCTGATTATGTTCTTCATTTCTGTTTTTTTTTTTTTTTTTTTTGTCAGTGTGCCTTTAAAAACAAGTCAAATATCCAAAAACAACAGAATATGAAATAGGATGAGATTAATTAAACTGCTCTATATACAATGAAGGGGAGGGTCTTTATCTCCCTGGATTTTAATGATGATTTATTTGATGCCGAATCCTTGATAAAGAAGAAAACCCCAATTATCATGCTGTYCTTAGGAGAAAACAGGATCAGTTTTATAATAACATTTTACTACTCTATTTAGAGAAATGCACTGTAATCAAAAACTGGAGTAGCCCGGATGCCTCACTAGATTTTGTGAAAAAAATGCCTTGAAAATTTTGCAATAGCAATACTTAGAAGGAATATTATTATTATGTTCTGATATGCGTTCTGATATGCATTAATAGCTCCATCYCAAGTCATAATTTTAAACTCAAATTTTTAAAATATTTTTAAAGACTATTTTTCTATAATTACATTACCTGGTACCATAATCCACAACTACCCAATCTTTAGCAGTTCCTGTGATAGCATCATGATGTTGAAACAGTCCCAAATTCCTTCTGGCTTCTGTCAGTGCCGTGTAATATGTTGATAAAAGAAATTTATTTATCTTGTATTTCTGAGCTTGTGTCTGGGCGAAATAGTAAATAATTTCAGCAGCCCTAATTGCAAAAAAAAAATCATTAGTTTTTATTTAAAAAAACATTTTAGTGTATAATATAAAATATATTACATTTTTTTTCTTCTTTTTTTATTTTTATTTTTTTGTTTGGTTGGTTGGTCGGGTTTTCTTTGTTTGTTTTTGTTTTTTGATACCAGGGACTGAACTCAGGGGTTCTTAAATACTAAGCCACATCCACAGCCTTTTTTCTTTCTTTTTTTTTAATATTTTATTTTGACACAGAGTCTTACTAAATTGCTTAGAGCCTTTCTAAATTGCTGAGGCTGGCTTTGAATTTGTAATCCTCCTGCTTCAGCATCCTGAGGTGTTGGGATTACAGATGTGTGCCACCATGCCTGGCCTACACTGATACTTTTTAATGTGTTTTTAAAAAATTCCACAATCTCAGTACAAAGAATTTATACAAAAGATACCAATGATAAAAATTTTTACAAAACCACCAATTATTCAAATTTTCAATCATCAAAAACCAACATGTAATACTGATTTTGGAGGTCCTTGTTCTAGAGAATCTTAGAAAGAAGTCAGCCCCTGTTGGTAGCTGACAATATAAATTGGGCAAGTTTATATGTATGTATGTATGTATGT